GATGTAATTAACTATAGGGGCTTGCCTCTATAGGGAACTTGAAACTCAGGTAAAATAAATCCTATTTAATCTTTGTATTAAATAGGGGAATTTGTCGGTCATATATAAAAGGTTCGCAGACCAAACGGATGTCACAAATCTCTTAGTTTGCAGGATTGGGTCTATCGCTGAGGTCTACACTTATCTCTCGGGAAGGTGTAGTATTCGCGGTATCAGGCACGATTATGCAAACTATCAGACTAATGAGATCCATTTGGTCTCATTTTTCTAAAATTAAAACATACTACTTTTAAAACTCAAACTATATATCCTTTATATTTAAATTAAATCTCAAAAATTATTTTCATATATCATATTTTTCAAAATTAAATCTAATCGAAAAAAAAGTTGACCGACAAACTAATATAAGAGTATTATCCAAGGTTCGAGTGGTTCTTCGGTTGTATCTCGTTCTCGTGGTGATTATCCTTCCACCATCGCTCCAAACCGTTCCCCGCCACCTTTCATTGTTGCAGCCAACCAGAATAGCTATTTTGCTGCCCTTTCTACAGTTTCATGCTCTTCCAACCTTCCCTTACGTACTCCCACTTGCCTCTTGCTGTCCCTGCCTTTCCCAGCCTTCCCAGCCACCCCTTCACCCATCTCAACTTCTTGTCACCTGCCAGGAAGCCCCACTCCCTGCTCCTACTGCTAGCACCCCTAAACAGCCCTCCATCCTTGCTTGTTGTCTTAGATGTTCCAGCCCTCCATCTTCATTGTCGCTGCTTTCCAGCCTTCCCCCTTTGTTACCATCATCCCAGACAACCGTTCCATGTCAATATTTGTTGTGTGCCTGCGGGAAACCGATGTCTTCCTACTTTCTGTGTGCCTAACACCCCGTCCATCATCCTACCACATTCCAAACCCCCGCCGATCACCATCACCACCACCTCGAGATCCACCCTAGTTTGTGTGTCATGTTTGTTGTTATTTTGCATTTTGATACATTTGACTGCAATTTTCTACTTGCATTCAGCAATATTATTTGTTTTTCTCGTTTTTGTTGGTTAACCCCAGTATCACCACTCCTTTTGAACTTTGTCAAATTTGACTTCAGTGACGTAAAGCAGTGATTGTTAAAGTATACAACTAGCAGGATATATTCATGAATGTGTGCTAAAGAGAACATAAGGGATTAGACAAACATCTCTTGCGACTTTCGACATGACAGGGTTTAAGTTACCATTACCAATCTTCTTTTACCTGTAGAAAATTCCCTTACCATCTTCATGATTTTTGTCCTAATTTTTTATGGTTTGTTCTGATGGATATTACATGAACAATCACAAACCAAATATAGGTTATTTTTAGACTCCCCTTGCATTTTCTATCATAAGAATTTTTTTTACGTACAGGGTAATTTTTTTAATTTAAATTTTAAAAAAATAGCATTTAAAAGGTGAAATTGATCTATTATGTGTGGGGTACCATAAAAAACATTAGAATTTGCATTCCAAGTCATTATGCGCATAATTCCATCAATTCTATAAGCATTAAAGAATTGCACAATGTTTGTACACCTATATCATCCTAGATCTATGCAGATTTGACAGCAACATGATTCCTGACTGCTTGCTACACAGAGAAACATAGGAAATGAAAGTAAAGAAAATAAGGAAGAACCGCATGCTCACGAACAAGGCAATTATCTTGCTCATCAATATCATATATCAGTAGAGAAACATAAGGGAGATGCATGATAAAGCTGATATATGGAGAGCAAAGATTTATAAAGCAAATCCCATATTATGGGATAAGGCGGCTGCTGCTGCTGCTGCTGATGATATGGTAATTGGATATTCTCAAAAATATACGCCACCAACAGAAAAACACAAGATCTCCATGATAGAATCATGAGAAGAAATGTAACAGTTCGTTTTTTTAAACTATGCATATATCCAACTCCATAGTTTGAAGAGCTGGCCAACAAGGAATGAGCATTTAAGATGGAATGCAGAAAATACTTCATGTTTGCTTTAGGTTCAGGTTGGCATACATAAGTGGGCTGTACTTCGGAAAACTCCTGAATTTGAATATTTTTAAAAAATTGCGGGTAAAAGAATAAACTGCCTTCATGCCCTTGAGCAACATATTTACAAAATGATCATGGCATCCATACAGCGATGCATCATTAGTTAATTACGTATGCTTGAGATGGCTGCATGTTGGTTCAGTCAAGAACAGCTTCCCTCAAATAGAAAGAAGATTATGGTACACGCAGATACCAGCATAAAATATGCTCTTATTTTTTGGAAGATTTAGGGTATGTTTGGCGCAGCTGTTGATTATTTATAATCTGCTAGATCATTCGATGTAGTTGAAATAATGAAATTGGGGCTATTTGGTTAAGTATCAGAATAATCTGTCTTGCTGTTTGGGGCAGCTATAGTTTAATAGTTTATTGGTGGTTAAATGACATTCATGCCCCTGTCTAATAAAACTATTTGGGGCAGCTTAATCAGAATAGCTTATTGGCAGAACAGAAGCATATAGTGCAGAAGCATACGATCATTACAGATCAGTTCTAAAAGATGACATATAGTTCTCACACCCTCATGAGTACCAAGAGAACTAAAAAAAAGTACAAATACAAGTACAACAACAATGAGAAATATTAAAATATTTAATTTCAGACTCTGGCTATGTTTGTCCTCATCTGCACTGTCAACCTGAAAAAACTCTCGAATTTCTAATGAACCAATCTCATACTCATGTTTACTATAAAAAGGAAATAATCGCAGGCCATAAACATTGTGATTCTTAACATTGCTCTAATGCTATAATATTGCCCAATGCTATAACCATTGTCATTCTTAACATAAAACTATAGATAAGAGTATGGATTCATCTAATAGAAAGATCTAGAGCCCAGAAAAAATTGAAACAGAGAAACTGAAACCTTTCTGGAACGAAGAAATGAAAACTAAAATTCGTATTTGCATTCTCCACGCTTTTCTTCAAGCTTAGCTAGCATGGATTCCTCTCATAGAAAGTTCTAAAGCCCAGAAAAAATCGAAACCAAAATTTTTGGAACGAAGAAATCGAAACCAATATTCGGGAGTTAGCTTAAGAAAACAGAAAAAATCGAAACCAAATTTCTGTAACAAATCCCTTGCTCTTCCGTGAAGGAAGAAAAAAAATAAAGTACAGCGATGTTCGACCGTTCACGACCAACGACTATCGACCCCTCTACGAATGACAATAAGATAAAGCATACCTTACGATCAAACAGAAAAATTAAAAGGAATTTGGGCCGGTCTCCTCTAGGGTAAGAAGAAATTTGATCGCAGGCACCGACCAGGGAGGGAGAGCCCGAGGGAGCTCAGGGGTATTTAGGGCAAATCTTGCGGCCGAACGTTGGGACGCGGGTCGAGAGCCGCATCGAAGACCTAAAGGAATTACTCGAAGCGGGACGCAGTGTGGTATAGTTAAGTCGCCCAAATGCCGATCCAAACACAGCGGCGGCGTTTCCGATCCAAACACAGCGGCGGCGTTTCCAAAACGCCGCCGCACCTAAATAAACTGCCCCAAACGGGCCCTTAAGAGCATACCACTCTATTTCCATGGATTTACATATCTAACACTAAACTTAAATTTTTACATTTATGTCACTTTACCCGTGCATGTAATGATGTATTTCACTATTTAAAAATTAAAATATTTATGTGATATGAAAGATTTGGGTGGTAAAAATATAAAAAGTAAACTATGTAAATAAATCGGAATTAGTTGGTACGTATGTAAATGCTCTTTTGTTTTTTGTTTTTTTTTTTTTTCCTTCAGCAAAATATGTTAAAGATCACACAATCTGAGCAATATACCAGTCTTCAGGGAGAAGTCAGAAAAGAAGAATGGAAGAGCGAGCTGGGGGAGTTAGGGGGGGCAATGTTTGGTTCAAATATTACCCAGGTCATAAATTTGGTATTTTCATCACTCCATCCAGGGTACAATGACTGGAACTTCTGTACCTTCTCATGCAAGAAACGGATATATTCAATGACCTGTAAAATCATGTTAACTGTAAAAACAAAAGCAATATACTGGTAAAAATAATAATGTTAAAGGAAACTCCTCCAGCTCTAAATATCCTAGATGAAGAAAATTACCTCAAGAAGAAACGATGCTTTATCTCTTTTCTGATCACTATTCGGCAGAAGTTCTCGAAGTATTTGAAATCTGGCTCCAAAAAATAAGATAATCTGATCATTTATTTCTACAACATTTCTTACAGCAATCTGTTGACTGGATGATCGACTTACAGGGAATAGATGGAACTGATTCCAAACCCATTAAGAAACAAGAAGTAAAATTTATTGCATTTAAAATGTCTAATAGATAAATAAATGTGTGTTCAAAAAAATGAGAATATAAAAGTTTTTGAGAGGACAGGAAAACTTTATAACATTTGATGCAACTCCATGCTAGCTTACTTTGATGAAGCAACTCCAAAGAATAACCTTATAACATTTGGATTGTTACGTTTAACCAGTGACAGGAAAAGATAATAATTTGGGGAATTAGTTGAGTATTCCATGCTAACATTATAGTATTTGCACAATCTTACGAGAGCTTCTAATAGAAAATATATAAGATCCCATGAATCGATGAGATGATCTTAGAAGAGAAAGAAAATAGTGCGAAATTCTTGGTGAATATAGCCCAATCGGCCAAAATTATGCAGCAACTTCACACTCCCCTCAAGCAAACGAAATTCATTCCGAGCTTGCCTCATATTTACTGAAAGAATACCCTAGATAATCCATTGGTGAGAATGTCAATGAGTTGTGCATCTGTGTTTACTTATAAAGTACGGATTAGATAACTGTCAAGCTTATTCTTTATAAGGTGTATATCAACTTCAATATCATTTCTACTATCATGTTGCATGGAATTTATTTTTGTTGCAGAACGAAATATAGCCAAAGTTTGTATATTAAAAAGCGTAAATATTAAGAGCTTGATATTAAGCAACTTAATTACAAGATCTTTTCTATACTAGACATATTCCTAATTTATAAACGTTGGAGTGTATATAAATATGCAACATAGGTTTTTTTTATTTAAGAAAGCATAGAAAGAGCATTATTTTCCTTCACCTGTATCAGAAACTCATCGAATCGTTCTTGTCCTCATCGTTCATCATTGACATTAGCCTATGTGAATCGTTCAACTTCGGTTTCATTTGAGTCATATGGATCACTAGACTTTGACGTCGTCAACATCGCTAAGCGTTGATGGTGTATTCGGCTTCATATGCATCATTTGGTGTCGCCTGCAGCTGCTTCGACTCCATCCGACATTGACAGTGCCTCGTCTCCATCCAACATCATCTGCATCGCAGAGTGTCGACGGCATATTCAGCGTCGTCTACACCTGATTTGTCTGCCCTATCTATGTCGACGAGATTAAGGCATCGATGAAGTCGACGTCTGCTTTGGCCTCTCTGTCTGCTTCGTCTTCTTAGGTCAAATTCCTCATAGTTGCGTTTGGCTGCTTAGTTCGGCTTCTTTAACTTTGACGAATCATTTTCTTTATTCAACGATCGTTGAAATGTTAGTCATTGAGTTATTTGTCTCCTATGCTTTGGTCGCTCCTTCGATTCGTACTTCAACACTAAATGTCATCGTTTATGGTTGGTGAACAATAACATCTCGTGACAGGTTTGGTTTCATCAGCGGCTAAAAGTACGGATGAAAAGTTAAATGACATCAATTATTTTTATTGGAATAAAACTATGAGAATCTATTTAACAAGTATTTCTCAAGAGAGTCACCTTATTGATAATCACTCAGCTGAGGCTGAATCGAATTACTTTGAGTAGATAAGAGTGGATGCCCAGCTTTTGATACAAATACAGAACTCTATGAACCTGGTCAACCTGGTCATATTACTCATTATAGTTGTGTTAAAGAGGCGATGGAGAATTTGGCGTTTACATTTTCTAGGAAAGAAATTTTTTCTTGAATCTTTGATATATGTCAAAAGTTATATCGAGCTAAACAACAAAATCAGTCACTTAACATGTATCACATGCACTTTAAACGAGTGAATAAAGAATTAAACACATAAGTTCTCATGCCTCATCTGTGCTGCAACTTAGTGATTTCGCCAATCAGAAAAACAGACATTAGTAAACCTTAGTCTCAAAACAATTATAAAAGTGGAACTTCGAATTCTGAAAATCAAGGGTCGAGCATGGTTTGCTACTATTGTCATAAGATTGGTCATTCGAAAATGACGCGTCAGAAATTGCTCAAATAGAACAAGAAGGATTTTAGATCACAGTCAACTCACATGATCAATACTAATGAGGCCTCTCAGAGTCGGACTTTCTTAATCTTTGCAAATGAATATGTCAAGTTCATCCAATTTCAGGAAGCATCGAAGAAATCCCCTCTATCACTGCCCTTATTGAGTCAGGAAACAATGATGCTTGTCTTCTTTCCTCTTCCACACAACGGGATGATGATTCTGGTGTCACAGATCCCATGACAAGGCAATCCAAAATTCTTTTCCACCTTTCATAAAAATCTTCCTTCCGACACATAAGGAAATGGATCTATATATAATTTTCTCGGTTCTAGCATCATTAATGTTACATCTACACTACCGTAAACATTTGTTTTAAGTTTACCTCAAATATCTTTTAAACTTAACCCAATTACAAGATTAAATGTGTTGTTCACTGTTGCATCTTTTTCTTTATATACCATTGTCTTTTCCAGGATTTTATGGAGAAAAAGTTTATTGGTAAAAAAACATGAATCGCGCGCACGAGGGAGGGAGGTATTTTAGATAACAAACTACCTTGACCCATAACCTGTTACAACACCTAATCTCCGTTTGAGGTCAATTGTTTATTAAGGCATCTATCACTACTCATGCTAAAATAAGTATACTCACGGTGTCAGCAATTATCAACTTTAGATTGTGATTCGTGCCAATTTGTTAAACATCATCGTTTGTCTTTTATTCTCATAAATAATGAAAGATTTAGTCATCATTTTAAGTTGGTTCATTCTGATGTATGAGGATCTTGTCTTGTTTTATCTAATGAATTTAGATATTTTGTTACTTTTGTGGATAATTTTCATCGTATGATTTGGCTTTACTTTATGAAATCTCATTTTTAATTATTGTCGCATTTTTAATCTATTTGTGTTGCAATTAAAACTCAATTCAATGTTTATGTTAAGATTCTGAGAAACGATAATACCAAAGAATATTTCTCTGCACCTTTTCAAACCTATATGACACAAAATAAGATGTTGGACCGCTCATTCTGTGCCGATACTCCATCCCCAAATGGAGTAATTGAAAGAAAAAATAGACATCTTCTTTAGACAGTTATAGCTCTTTTATTCTAAACTAATGTACTCAAACATTTTTGTCACATTTGACTTTGCTTTATGAAATCTTGTATTAAATTACTGTCACATTATTAATCTATTTGTGTTGCAATCAAAACTTTGCAATCAAAACTTAAGTCAGTGTTTGTATTAAGATTCTGAGAAGCGATAATGCCAAAAAATATTTCTCTGCACCTTTTCAGACTTATATGACACAAAATAAGATGTGTCATCACCCATTCTGTGCCGATACTCCATCCTGAAATCGAGTAGTTGAAAGAAAAATTAGACATCTTTTTTAGACCACTAAAGCTCTTTTATTCTAAGCTAATGTATCAAACAATTCTGGGTTGATGTAGACTCTATTGCATGTTTTTTATTAATAGAATTCCTTCTACCGTTTTACAAAACGAGACACCCTACCAAGTTTTATTTCCAACTAACACTTTAGTTTCCATTGAACCACGTATATTTGGGTGTGTTTATTTTGTTCGTGATACTCGTCCACTGGTTTCTAAACTGAATCTTAAGTCATTAAGGTGTGTCTTTTCTATGATACTCACATTTGCAAATAATGATATCAATAGTTTTCTCCTCTTAAATAGATAGATGATTTTTGTTGATGTCATATTTCATGAACAAACCATATTCTTTGGTAGCTCAGCATTCCCTATATCCTCAAAAGATTCTGATGAGTTGTTAATGTATCACGTCATTAGTTCAGATCTTGCTTCAACTCCACCTCCACCTCCACCACCACTGCCTCAGTCTAGACCACCTATCACTAATGTTTACTCTAGAATATCTCGTTCCCCTGACTCTAGTCTGACACCAATATTATCTTCGTTAGCGGATCATCCTCCCAGTGAGCTTGATTTATCTGTTGCTCTTTGAAGAGGTAAACATCAATGTGACCACCCCATTTACTCTTATATGAACTCTAACCAATTATCTTCTACTTCTTGCTCGTTAATTGTTTCACTTGACTCTTGAGGTTCCAAGATCTGTTCAGCAAGCTCTAACCCATTCTAGGTGGTGGGCAGTAATGCTTGATGAAATGAATGTCTTAACTGAAAAATGAAAACTTGGGAACTAGTTGAATTAACTTGGGACAAATAGATTGTTGATTTTAAATTGGTCTTTGTGGTTAATTTTCATTACGATGGATTTGTAGCCCGTCTAAAAGCTCATTTGGTTGCTAAAGGCTATGCTCAAACTTATAGGATCGACTACTTGGACACGTTCTCACCGGTAGCTAAGTTGACTTTGTTTCGCCTAGTTCACTCCTTGGTTGCAATAAATAATTAGCCCCTACAATAGCTTGTTGTGAAGAATGTGTTTATGCATGATCTTTTAGAGGAGGTATACATGGAGCAATCTTCTAGGTTTATTGCTCATAGGGAGTATGCGAGATTATGTCATCTTCAAAAGTCTTTATATGGGTTGAAGTAAAGCCCTCAGGCATGATTTGGAAAATTCCGCCAAGCAGTAGAAGAGTTTGGGATACAGAAAGGTAAAAGTGATTACATTGTACTCTACAAGCAATCAGGTTCGGAAATCATTCTATTGGTGGTTTATGTTGATGACCATAGTATTAATGGACGCATTTCACACGGAATGGTATCATTGAAATCATTTATTCAAATCAATTAAACATTAAAGACCTAGACTCTTTGAAGTACTTCTTGGGGATTGAGGTATCAAGGAGCACGAAGGGTATCTGTCTATCTTACGAAAAAATATTTTGGATTTGTTAGCAGAAAATGACAAATTAGGGGTAAAATCATACAGTCTTTTGATGCGTCTTAAGCGGTAACTTACCAAGGAATGAAGAGCCATTTGATGATCCTGAACGGCATAGGAAATTAGTGGGAAAATTAAACTATCTTATAGTGATTTGCCGTAACATTGCTTATTTAGTTAGTACTATAGATCAGTTTATGCCTTCCTCCATAGTCTATCATTGATTAGTTTTGAAACAAATACTATATTACATCAAATGGGCTCCTGGACAGAGTATTGTATTTCAAAATCATAGGCATAAAATCTTGAATGTTACTCTGATATATATTGGGCAAGTTCCACGATTGATCAAAGATCCATTATTGGATATTGTTTCTTTGTTCGTGGTAATTCTATGATATTTTTTAGCCATAGCAATCACATATTCCCAACATCAAATATCTCAATTTCGCTTATGAACAATACCTTGCTACCAAGTTTTATTTTGTATCTCTACAAGTCATAAGATTGCCTCAGTAGAATATATAATATCATAAAATTTATCTCTTGTCAATCATAAAACATGTATAATACATATTTTTGTATACTTCAATAATCAAATTTTCTCCCCTTTTATCTTTTGCCCAAAATTTCCTTGAAATATTGTAAAACTCTATCTAATACCTTAACATGTGATCTTTAGGATTGTGAATGATTTAGGATTCAAAATTATGCTCAATATTCATGGCAAACTTGTTATCACAATAGTCTTACTGAACTTTTAATCAACTCTTAAACCTTCTAAGATGATTTTAGTAATAACAATTCACAAATTCTCGGTGTCATGGATTACAATTCAACTTCAACACTAAATCTTGCTACCATATATTACTTGTTATTTTTTAAATTACAAAGTTGTCACCTCAAATTGTACAATATACTAAAGTTAACCTCTTCTCAACCATAAAACTAATATGTTCAACATCTATCAAGTTTTCAGTATTGAATCCACCCCTCTTAAATCACATATCTTCCCACATTTCTCTTCAAATATTATAAAATTTATTTGCTATCATAAAGTGTAATGTTTTTAGTATTATACATAAGTTAAGATCGTATATAAATTGTCTAACCACACTATTAGCATAAACAATATCAATTCTAGCGTGTGTTAAATAGGTGAGTCTTCCCATTAGTATGTAATAGGAGGCTTTCCTACAATTGTATCGTTTACAGCATATCTATAATTATAATTAAATTTCATGAGTATGTCAAACAATTTAAATCCTAACTTGCACATTTCTTCCAATAGGCATGCTATGGATTTTTGTTATGAAATGAAGATCCCATGGAGATAGAGTAACTTTAATGCCAAGAAAATATTTTAGTTTGCCAATCTTTGAATCCAAACTTCTGAAACAATCTTTTTTTTTTTTTAATTCTACATTCCTCCCATATGAAACTATTAATGTGAAGAATCCTCATGATGCCATTTATTTCACAAGAAATATATAATCGCCATGACTACGTTGTATCTCACGTTAAGCAACATCATGGTGAACCTTTTGAACCACGCCCTTGGAAAGTGCTTCAACCCATAATGTTTCTTTTAAGGCACATATCTATTGTTGTATATATAAGCTAAATCTTGATGGAACTTCCAATATATACTCCATCCTCCTATTCATCAAGTATCTTCCAAGCATTCTTCCACTCTTTACATAATATACACCAAGAATTCTTCACATTGAATTGTTATATCATTTAGTCCCTCATAGGTGTTCAAGTTAGAGAACTCTAACATTGTTCATTTAGTTTCACAATAATTAATCTCATAATTTTGAGAGTACCAAATAGCCTTTGACCACAAATATGGCTTTATGCCTTTCTAGAGAACCATTGTGTTTATATTTTATATTTTCTTAGAAATAAAAATAGCATATAAGCTAGTAAGAAAGGATTAGTAATTATGAAAAAGAATTATGTATAATTAAAACAAATGTAAGAGATCTTTAGTAAAATTTCTTGTACCTTACTTATAAACTTAATGATTCTCTCAATAGATTCAATGGCATGGTTTGATTCGGTTGATTAGACTTGCATAGACGGAGATGGCTTTCTTCTTTAGTAAACTTGTAATGGTTTATTAGAATGTGGGTTGGGCATTGACTCAATTTGGCTAGGAGCAGCAAGTTCTATAAAAAAAAGTTACATAAGATGAGAGGTAAGCAATGTCATCAATGAGAAAAAAATTCATTTATGAATAAAATTCTTTCTTAGGATGAGTAGTAATACAGTAGTGATCTTTTTTAAAAAAAATTGGCATGAGCGGACAAATATCTCTCATTAAGATGGTAAAATTTGTTCCCATTTGTTATGCATAATAGTTAATACAAACACAGTTGCTTGCTTGAAAATATGATTTTTCTCTGTTTTAAAAATGTGAACGAACACAAGAAATGGTCCTAAATATTTTGAGAATAAGATTGTTTGAGTTGTTAAAATGTGGAAAGGATTTTCTAGTGCTTATGTATGACTCATGAACCAAGCACCAATGTAGGTGATTGAATTATGATATGAGCGCTATTAAAATTGCTCCCCCCAATATTATTTTGGCATACTTTTTCATAAAAGGAGCCCAATGTCATAACAAGTAATTAATCATTCCTTCGTTCACTTGCTCTATTTTATCAGGGTGTGCGTGCAGAAAAAAAACACAAGTACTATTCATTTTTTTCTTAGAAGCATGAGGAAAAAGAATAGTTAAAGTAGTATTTGTCATGGCTTATCAATGCTAAATTAAATTATAATCATGTTGAAAAAATATACCTAAATCACTTTTAACTTTTACTAAACAGATCCATAGCACAAAAGTGCAATCTTTGATAAAATAAAATATTGAGCCAAAAAGAAATAATAAGCGTAGAATGTGATCCCCAAATGTACAATGAATGAGAGAAATGAATGAAGATTTTTTTGTCATTCATTGAAAAATTAATATGATTATATTTTACTAGTTCACAAACATCATAATTAAAATTTGCCAATATTGATTTCCTTGAAAAATAAAGAAAGCATGATTGTGAGATAATAAAGGATCAATAGCCAAGACATAGGTGATGAAGACAGATTTTTTTTCTTTAGTAGATTTAAGGGTTTTTGAGATATAAGACAATATAAAAGATTATATGAAACTTTCTTGATCTTTAGATAGCTCTAGGTGGCGAGTGTGAAATACGACTGACAAAAATTATGGAATTATTTTAAAAAAGTAACCATGAAAGGTTTCATTGTCACATAAAACTAATTAATCCTTTAATTGCTCCTCTTGAATTTGATTTTTCTACCCCCACTATGTATTTTGAGAAAAATCTCACAATTTTTTGTAGAAAAAGAGCAACATCTTGATCGCCTTTTCAACAATCATAAACAATGATAAGTTCCCTTCCAACAATATCGAAGAAAAGTGGAGTTTATCAACCTAATTCCTGCAAAGTATCACCCCTAGAGAGATCCGACCATTGTGCGTTGTGATCATTATTGTAACCTCATACCCAAAATAACTAGCCACCAAATTCTCTACCATCTAAATCAATGTTTCTGGTCACTATTTACAATATCTTATCACCATGAAAAGTAAATTATGTAAAGAAATTTTTTCACAGCCTAGTTCTTAAAAATGATAATAAAATTAGAAATTAATTGGCAAATGATATTTCCTCTGAGACAACATTCAATCATCTACAGCCGAACATATCTGCCCACAATATCTGATCTCCATCTGGCAAGTGTTCTTTAGAAAAGTATATGGCAAAGTAATCATCAACCAATATGTTTTTTTACCTCCATCATTTATCCTCCTTGTTTTGTAGCCCTATTTTATCTCTCTCTATTGTTTTTACTCTTAGGACATCTCAAATATTGATTAATTTAAACTAAAAATATACAGTGGAGTATTAAAATGAAGCCTCTCCTTGATAATCACACATGAAATTTAGCTTCACCATCAGCTAGAGTCAAAACTATTTGTGTTCTATGGATTTTCATATTCAGGTTTCATCTATATGGAATTATTGATCGCTATAATGCTAATTTGATGGCCAAATTATACATGTAGGTCCACAACATTGCTTATTTTTATTTTTTATTTTTCCTTCAGTAGCTCACAATCGAACTCTGTTCAAATGAAAGTGAGGAAAGACGGGTCAAAGATCATAACCCTTGTAGACCCGTCGAACTCATAATCCTTGTTAAATCAGCATACAATCATATCTTATTTTTCGTACCAAATGGAAAGAGGCAAGAGGGGGTTGGCTCAGCCCCCCGCTCTCAACTAAACCCGTTTGGGTCAAATTGGTTCATTTTTTGGAGGAAAATCCCGTGTCAATACTTCCATGAAAGTGAGGAAAGACGGGCTTTGATTTTTTGGCCTGCATAATTGCCAAAAGTAAGGTGTTTTTTTTTTTTTATATAGCTATATAAGCATTCCATTTTAAATTAATACATATGTGTGATAGCAGCCCTCACCTTTTTATCTTATGACTGGATCTTAAAACCCCTCCAACCAAAACTGAATGAAGATGATGAGAAAAACACAAAAACATGAGCATAAGAAGTTATATTAGAACAAAACTACATAGGTTCACTGAATTACTCTTAAAAACACTAATAGCAACTATGCGACTAAACTTAATAAGAAAAACTTGCCTATCATTTATTTTACTTCTACGTCTCTGCTCCGTGGCAGAGTGCTTTGATCGTGGTGTGCTAACTTTCTGATTAATACTCCTCCCATCAATCTTTAAAGTCAACCCTACATAAAAAATTCCTTCATCAAGTAATTCAATCATAATCGTTCAGACATAAAATTAGCAAACATGAAAGCAATGCCTACAAATGGAGAGATTATAGGCATAGAAATAATGTATGGTACGCACACCATTGGCCAAAAACTCAAAAGAAGGTGAAATCCTAAAACTAAAAGTTTAATAGCAGAAAATAGAAAATAAAACTAGATAAAATGTTTACAAGTACCTTTTCCTCTCCCAAATCAACATAAACCACATGAAAAAGCAATTTGTAAAAGTAAAACATTAATAGTAGCCAAACTACCCTTATCCTTACAAAAAATAAAATGTATTCCATTTTACTTTTACCCTATGTTGGGTGAAAATGGCATGCTAAAACTTTTAAGGAAATATGAGATTAAATCTCAAAAAAGAATTTCAACTATTCAAACGAGATTGATTTAATCCTAAAGTATCACTGTTCTTCAATTCAGTCCCTCCGATTATAAATTTGATCTGAAATGGTCCCTTGTGTAAAATTTGTGATACAAAATTGGATGTCACTTTAGTCCCTCGCTATACAAAATGGACCAAATCTAGCCCCTCAGAGCTTTTGGATCATTTTTTATAATTGAGAATCTAAATTCAAAAATGTTACGGTCTACAACAACCATGATCGTCGATTTGCCACGATTGAATGGCAGGGTCAATTTGCCATGAGCGCATGGCAAGTAAATGATATAGACTATTGCCATGTCGACCTCCCAAGTAGCTTGTAGAATTAAAAAAAAAAAGATTGTAAGAAGCCTATTGGTGTCAATGATTGATATCTTGTTACTCAGAAAATGGAACATGAATTGATAAATTTGTGTGCATCCTTCTTCATATGCAGCCAAAAAAATGTTGTTGGAAACAGTTTAAGATTGAAGGCCCCCAGTCTATACCTATCACACTGTAGTCATTCTATTGAAACAAGTTCTATTTCAAGGGTAATGTTGAAGCAAGCACTACTCTATCGTGCTTATCTAGCAATCCATTACAAAATTGGAAGTGGGAATGGAACTTGGGATAATCCTCTAGTTGTTTCTTTTTTTGTATAAGTTTCGACTTAGTGGTTACCTCTGACATAACTATTGCATGATCTAAGAAAAACAAGTTGAAAGAATAGCCAAAAGGGATCATAAATTGGAAGAAGAAGCCTAACTCATGAACTCGGTAGAGAGCATATGAAATATACTGGAATTGTTGAGTTTGTATTCATTGTGTATTATGGCCAAGTAATTTAATTAAGAATTGTAATTGATATGGCGTTTGAACAACTTGTGACACAAGCTCTCAAATGCTTTTTGGACTGGTAGAGATTGTGAATTTGGAATGCAAGAACTAACGCCACTTCTTAAACAGTTTTGAAACGGCGCATGGATTATGAACATAACTTCAAGCTTGCTTCAATCAAGAAGTGAGATTGGATAAGCACCGCTCCAATGTCCATACTGAAAGCTTTGGAATATATTATTAATTATTGAGTAAATCATGTATGTAGAGAAGTGTAGCGGATTTACCAAGGTTTGCTGCAATGTTTGAAAGGCTTGTTGTGTTGAGTCAGTCCAATTGTATGCATCTTTTTGTTATAAAATGGGGACTGGGCCAGCAATGTTAGTGAAGTTTCAACCGAATTGAGAGAAGTGACCGACCAAGGCCAAAACCAACAATAGCATTTACAATGGTTAAGATGGGTCATTGTAGAATGGCCTCAATCTAGTCGCAATTTGGATAGATTCCAACAATTAAAACGGCATGACTAAGGTATTAGATGGATGCTTGACCAAAGAAGCCTTTAAATTACAAAACCTTGAACAAAGGAGCATTTTGAATGACAGCTGATGTAATTGTAATCAGTCAAATATTGTGTGTAAATTGACAAGATGACCTTGTATAATATTGTTAAGCACCAAAATATCATAGAAAACAATAAAATTTTCCATAAAAATTGTTTAAGAATGTTATTTATGATGGTTTGAAAAGTCAAATATGTATTGATGAGTCAAGAAATGACAATTATGGGTACAAAATGTGCTAATGTAAATGTCCTATGAAGCAATTCAAAGTTAATAAAAAAGCAAGTATAAAGGCCAAGTTTGCATAAATGATTCCTAGTAAACTTTTCATCACATTTATAACATAGACCTCTTTGAAGTTTGTCCATGGTCTCCGTTAGTGTTAATTTCCCGATGGGCAAATGGTGGTTTGGTGGGATGTAGGAGATTGGGAAGAGTGCATGGTGATGGAACGGTTGATGGCTTGGGCTTGCCATCATGAGCCTTGTCAGCTTAGCTACCTCGATGGCTTGGTTTACGGAACTAGGTTGGTGTAGAAAAACCTCTCTGTGAACAGCAGGCTTTAAACCTAATTCCTTAAATGAATAGTTCATCCATACCTAAAATTTGACATGAGAGGGTTTTGTGCTGCACTAGATAATATATGATAATAGAAGATTGCATGAGCTTTGCAAGTTCTTGACTTAGTTTGTCGTAATTGGAAGGACCAAATTGAGTTCAGAGTGCTTGAAGAAACTCCACCTAGTTTTGATAATAATTTCATTTTTGTGAGCTATAAGTATCATTCCTCTGTTGGGCCACCAATGTGAAATACCGCAAGTGTGAGCGTATCGTCACCAAAGAGTCTACAAAAGCTATAGTAATGTTTGATTCTCTAAATCCAAGTTTCGAGGTTACCATCTTTGTATCATGGAATGATTGTGATGGTGAAAAGTGTAGCTAAAGGTGTAAATGAGCTGAGTCGGCTCACTAGTTAAGCTTATCGAGCCACGAGTTCAAGCTTAAGCTCGAACTTAAACTCAAGCTAATAAATTAAACAATCTGAAATTCGAGCTTCATATGACTATTTAAAAAATAAAATAAAATAAATTTATTACAATAAACATTTAAATAATTTTTAAAAAATAGATAAAATACCATTTAAAAAAAATTGCAATGTGGAGTGAAGTGCATTAAATGCAAGTGATAATTTCTTCTCTACCCATTTCACCGTTCTCAAGATGCAACGTCTCTTACCCATTAACGGCCATAAATCCCAAGATCTCTCTAGCAAGTTTTTGTCGGTTGAGACCATCAATTTTCTCGTATGGTCAGCTTTTCTCTGGTCCCTATCATTTTCTTCGATGATAGTACGATTCAAGCTCTTCAGCCGCAGACGAGTCGAGATCGAGCTCAAGTTTGAACTACCATTTTGGCAATTCAGACGAGCTCAAGTTTGTTGTGACTCAAGCTTGAGTTCATTATGACTCGAACTCGAGTCGAGTTTGTTGTGACTCGAGCTCCAGTTCTCTGTGACTCAAGCTCGAGTTCGCTATGACATGAGCTCAACTCGACTCGATTACACCGCTAGGTGTAGCTCCAACAAGGACATAGACCGGGCAGTAGAATGTTTCAGGTGACTATCTTGTCGAACACAAAATGATCTTGTTTCAACTCAAGCAAGGTGAGGCCAATATGAACTTCATAAAGCAGTTTAACTTCAACTAGCTAGCCTTTGGTGGAGACAATGAGTAATATTGTGCATTGTTGTCAGGCATACATAAATGGCAGGAAGGGAAGATTATCAAGGAGAGAACCAAATTAATATGTGGTAGACGACGATAGACGACCTCATTGGCAGTTCCAGCACAAATAACAAGAGAGGTTGAGAGAAATGCGAGCAAATAAAAGAGAGAAATCAGAGAAGATAGAAAACAAAATAATAAAACAATTTCAACAAAAAAATATCACTATTGCTTATTTCCTTTTATATTCCCCACTTCAATTAATATACATTTTTCCCATTAATGACCATCTCTGAAAGCTACAAAGTGTCATGATTTTCTAATAACTTAAACCAACTTGAAATCATGTTTGGAGATGAGAGCCCTTATTATGAATAAAAAACTTGTTGGTTTTTTTTTTCTCATTATTTCTTTACATGAGTTGGTTAGTAATTAGAGGTCATGAGTGCTAATAGGTGATTTTTTTGTAATTATCTATGCCTTAAATTATGAAAAATGTCGTTACATGAGTTAGTTTTCTGCTTAGCCTCAGTTTGGAGGGAGGACTTCCTATTCTATGTTGGATTCCATAGATTAGGAGAAATGAGAATGTGAGGAGATCGCAGCCGAGTCCGAGATATTGCAAAAATCAATCACCAAAGCATCTATTATGCCTCCTCCTCAGTAGCTTTCTTGAGCCCTATTTCTACAACTCTAGGGGTTGTCTACCTGAGTCTTTGCGACAAAAGACAAAACCAATAAAGATTATTTCAAGGTGGGAAAGCGCTGTGGAGCCAAAGGTAAGGTTTCACCAAGGAATTCACAAGTAATAGATGAATTGTGGTAACAAATGGATTTATGACAAACCCAACCAGGATCGTTGTTCTTCAATTGTTTCAATTCTTTGAAGTCGTGCTATATTTTGACCATGAATACAATTTATATAGACTCGTGATTAATAGCTATTCTTCCTACTTGAAGTGTGTAAACCACAAAAACCAAAAAATGCGAGCGCACCATTTCAAGCACTTGAGAAGAACAAATAATTATCAATTTCCTAATACTTCAAAGCCTTTAATCAGGTTTCTATTCTCCATTTTAAAATTATTAATCAATGCTTGATTTATTGAACAATTAAACTACTTGTTCTCATTTGGATGTCTTTACAGGAGGCGGGAAAATTCATCCAGCCTACCTCTTTGAGCTATTATTGCTGCAAGACAGAGACGCTTCAATGTCAAGTAGCAAGGAGAAAATAGCAATTGCAAAGGTTGCCATAGAAAGAAATCAACACAAGAGGAGAGACTTAAGAGGTTTTGGTTAAAAGCATCAACACCAAAAGAAAAGGGGCAGCAATCATTAAAATGTCAGAGCCATTTTCTTGTGCAGGTCCGTTTGAAAGAAGGGAAAACCGGAATACCTTTGTTCTTTGTTAGAATTGGGAGTCCATTAATGGGATGCTCATGCTAGAAAGGAATAAGTAATAACAAAGCAGGTAGATAGGAACCTCTATAAGGATGTGGAGAGGGTTTTGGTCCAGTTAGTTATCCTTGAACTATAATCTTATAGTTTTCCTGTTATTGGAGTTCGCTTAATGTTGGAAGCCGTGTTGATTGGCATTGATGAGTCATTAAGAAATTTATCTGATCAGGCACAAATCTAGATGCACTTTGGGTAACATTTCTTTCAAATTTAAACTCTAGATCTTCTGAGTTTTGATTTTCACAAATTTATATTTAAACTAAGCATCTCGACAATAAGAGTTTAATGACGCTGAAAGTGATTCAATCCGACTCCAAATAAGCCTAGATTAAAAACTTAAATTATTGTCGAAAGCTTGGAAATATCAATTGGAAGTCAAACGATCTCAAAATTGTGCATGTTTATAATCAAATCGAACGTCTCGATGAGAAAAATCTAATGATTCCAAGATCATTTGATTTGATGTCGTTAAGTCACTTAAATGTTGAAAAAAATGATTCATGATTAAGAGAAGAGAATCAATATGGATTGTCTGATGGAGTGTTTTGAGATTCTATCTCAATATACTAAAATGACTCCCTAAAAAATTATAAATGCACATTCATTCTTCAATTGAAGGAGGAAGAGAAGAGGAGTGAGTTAATAACTACAACATAACTCTTAAAGAGAAGTGCAAGGCCAGTGATTTCTAGCAATTGCAGACCACCATCAGCAATTGTTGTGGCTCAATTGCTATTTTGGTAGCCAACTATGACTATTGTACCCACCAAATACAGCCCTTATAGCCAACTACGACAGTTGTGGCAACCAATTATAGTTATTGTAATCTCAAATACCGCTATACAGTTATATTTGTCAAGTTACTTCAAGGCCGTTTTGATTTAAATATAATTTTGTAATCTCATCTCACCTAAATCAGGAAAAAAATTGACCTTTATACATTCAATTTTCTGGTGGACTTTGATTGAGTCAGACCCCATGATTTTTTCCATTTATTGGATTTTTCAATTAAAAATTTTGGTGGTCTCTCACACTTTTATATGTGAGTTTGTTGGGAAATTATATTGAGCTAAAGCTTAAGATTTCTCTGTCATTGAGAATTTTGTAGCCCGCAACAAGTATGTTGTGTTTTCTCTATATGTCAATTGTATAACCAAATAAGGACACATGTCCACTACCCAAAAGGCTGCGGAAATTGTTAGTTATTACTCTATGAAACCAAAACCATTAGCACCCCTTCTATCGTTTCTCCATGTGATAGACTTTCAGCCAGGTTAGAGTTCAGCGATCCCGTCCTGGTGGCGACGGCAAGGTGCTCACGGTGCCGCTGCGTCTGACAGCATCGCATCACATAATCGTCATTCTAAACAACATTATATTCTTTAAACAACCTCTGAACCATACACATCACATTTGATAAATAACATCTCAAACTCGATTATTGTTATTATTATGCTACTGTTTAGTACTTCTATCTAGATATCAAGGAACCAAGAATCATATCCGGGTTGCTCGGCCAGTTTCCTTTGCTTTCCTTCCTCAACTCTCTCATTCAGTGTAAAAACGCTAGGCAGAGAGAAACTAGAAAAATACATAAAAAGGTAAAAGAAAAGATGACGGAGCAACCTTTGTTGGGAGACCCTTCCCTCTTGCCGTACTCCTCATCATCGTCGTCTTCGTCTTCAAAAACCTTACTGAACCTAGAAACTGACTCCATCAGCCTTTATTTTCCCTGAAATCGGTTGCTCCTGCTCTAAATTTACATGAACCTCAGAACCACTAAAAAGGCTAGAAAAGGGTAACAAGCGGCGGAAAACCTAGAGTTGAGCTCAATATGGAAGTAAAACAGGGAGAATAAGGAGGAATTGATAGCCGATAGACGAGCGACGCTTCGAAGGTAGCAGGGCATCAAGGAGCAAATGGTGACAGACCGACGGGGAGACAAGAATAGCAGAAAGCAGGGAGTCAGAGTGCGCCCTAATAACTTCCATACTTTATTTGTTTAGTCGGTAGTTTGATTTAGTCGGTAGTTTGATAAATGATTCGAAGTTCCTATTTTTACATGCGTAGTCAATAATAAATTAAAAAATAATATGAGAAGTATATTAGCATGAATCTCTAGATAGATAGAGAATCTAGTCATCTAATTTGAACAATGACGATCGGACGTAACTATTAGACGATTGTCTGATTTGAACAATAGCGAAGGAAGTTTCTTGTTTGGGCAATCGGTAAAGCGTGCCAAGAGATCTTTCACAAGGCAGTGATTGGCAATCGAGATGATCGGTAATGAGTATCCTCTCGAATCAGATGTCGACAAAGCCAAGAATCAATAGGTATTTGGTGAACTTCCTGTCGATCAAACCAGTCTTCTAATATTATTATATGCAAATATCTTCGTAGATTACCAAAAAGTACCTTTGCAAATTAATGATGGGAGGACTAATGTATGCTTCTGTAATGTTGGAAACTATGTCTATAAATAGAGGGTTAATGTCATGTTTTTTTAATGTTGGGAACTATGTTTATAAATAGAGGATTAATGCCATGAAAATGCGGGACACTCTCTTTTATGTTTTTGTAATGTTGGGAACTATGCCTATAAATAGAGGGCAATAAGGGGGACGCTCTCTTTTATGCTTTTGTAATGTTGAGGACTATGCCTATAAATAGAGGATTTATGTCAATAATAAGGGGGACATTCTCTTTTACTATTCATTATTGTACTCTTTCTCTCTCTTATAGAACGCGCTATATCTTAGGTGTATATCCCGGACATTTTTTTATTCAACATTATTTAAGATGTGGTGAGCGTGGAAACATATTGTCAACAAAAAGAGGAGTCCAACAACAACAACAAGGATAATTTAGTCATAGGAAAATGGTAGAAATAACATGTACTAAGGAGTTCATAGAAGAATTTGTCCAACAAGGGTTACAGGAGTTGAGAACTTGGATCATAAACCAAATGTCAAGACAATTTTTGAGGTACTCGGAGCAGTGGCTCCCTTGGGGCCAATCCCAGTCCCAGGAGGAGAATCGGCCCAGGAAGAAGGATCTAAGCCCCCTAAAGGAGAACCACCAACAAACAATGGAGGAAGAGTGATCCATCTACAGACAAAGCTCGATGACAGGTTGCACCAAGACAGTGTTGGATCCGCCTCTATGGAGGAGAGGAACAGACCAACGCGAACCAAAGTGCAAAGGCAATCGGGAAATGCTTTCTCTCTACGGATCTCTGGAGTTGAAGCCCCAAAGAAGTTCAAAATGCCCGTCTTAGAATCATATAAGTGGTGATTGGATCTCAATGACCACATTGTGTCATTTGAATCGTCCATATGCCTGTTGAAATTTTCCAATGACATTAAGTGTAAGCTTTTCCTCATGACGTTGAGATCAACCACACTAAGGTGGTTCGACGGATTGCTCATGGGGGTAGTCACTTGTTTTGTGGAGTTCAGGAGACTCTTTCTATCCCAGTTTGCCAGTGCCCAAAGGTCTTAGAAGAATCCCTATGGCAATTGAAGCAGGGAGCTAATGAAAGCTTGTTGTCGTTTATCGCATGTTTTCATAGTGAAACATTAGATGTTAAGGATTTGAAATTTGACATGGCCTAGGCTGCCCCGACAAAAGGAGAGAGGTTGCAAAGATTCAGTTTCAACCTTGAACTTGCAGAACCACGGAGCTTGGTCCAGCCGTTAGAGATGGAAAACAAGTGCATTGTCGCCTATGAGAAAACCCAAGAACCTACCAAACAAAGATACCAGAAATGACCATCGCATGATAACAGAAAGCAACCCAAACAAAGCATATGACTGACCTCGTTGTCAGGGGACTAGAAATTGAAAAGTTAGATCAGATGTGGAATGTTCCTGACATCATCGAACAGAGAGTTGGTATGGGTCGTACAAGCTAAAAATGTTCACTGGAAATGATGTCCCTCAAACTTGGAGCGATGACGATCTAAAGATGTTTTTCCTTAAATCATCCACACTTGTTGAAGAAACACTACCAGGGTTTTTTGTAACATCTTCTTTCTTTCAAAAGCCTTCCATATAATGAAATAATTTACTTGTTACATACACAATATCCAATAGATTGAGGTTTATACATTCAGAATCTCTCTAACAATATTTACTTCGCTTATTTTTCACACTCGGGTAACTAATGTTGTCACGCTCAAAGAACTAACGTTGTCATACTCGGGGAACTGACACTATGAAAAGAGACCTATGGGATGTAACGACACCCAACAATGATAAGCTTCACGAGGGGAGTACAAATGATCATCATGTGCACACTTTAAAAAGTCAGCACCCGGCAGGGATAAGCTCCGTGAGGGGTGCACAAAGGATCGTATTGTGCTCAAATTATAAAATTAACACCCTGCAGTGACAAGCTCCGCTAGGGGTGTATGACGAATTCTCATGGCTTATGGAACATATCAGCACCCAACAACGACAAGCAACGTGAGGGAGCAAATGTCATATGATATAAACCCTCAGCTCTTTTTAGGATTCTAAGGTTGTTTGTTCGGTACGACGTAAATCCTTCTATCTTCTTGGGTATTTGCATGATTGTGTCAATAAATACAAGTCCTAAATTCTAATAAATTATAGGATTGAAACATTATTATGACTTCCTCTTTCAAAGGCATGAAGTTAAGCAATATGATAGTTTGGAAAGTCATTGAGATTCTCCTTAGAATCTATGGCAACCCCTGCTTCTTGCTTCTTTACTGTCAAAATAATTGTTCATATTTGAGCTATTCTCACTTGATTTTCCTACAAACAATTATGGAAACCTAACTTTGAATTCTTGAAGACGAAACTCTGATCTTAATCGAGAGTTTTCTTAGGTGAATTTGGTTTTCTAAGATGTAATTAACTATAGTGGTTTGTCTTTATAGAAAAATCAGTAACCCAGATGATATAAACTATATATAGTCTTTATATTATATTGAAAAATTGTCAGTCATAAATCTCGCATACCAAATAATTCATAAATTTCGTAGTTTAAATAGTTGAGCCTACTAACGAGTGATACACTTATCTTTCAATGCGGTGTATCAGTTGTGGTATTCTGCTCAATTAATTAAACTATCAAATGAATGAGATCTCACTCGTCTCACTTTTCAAAAATAAAATATTATTTTCAAAATCAAATATATAGATATATATATATATATATATATATATGTATAATAATAAAATCAAACATACTTTGAAAGAAAAAGGCGACTGAAACTGCCCCTCACACAACCTTACTTAGACATTAGATAAACTCATTTGCGGCTTGCCTTTTTTGTTGTTATTGGTTCATGTTACGGTAATTTGAGGTTCATCCTTGCTCTATTATCTTGCATTCTGGTTCATCCTCACTCCATCATCAATTTGAGGTTCGTCCTCACTCTATGATCATTCAAGTCCCACTTTAGATGCTCTAGAAATCCAATCCAATCAATAAGCACTAAAAATTATGATTATAGACTCGAGAAAAACAAAAGACATCTCTATATTATTCGAGGAAGGATAATATATATATTTATATATTATCATCTCTCACTCATGCACGCTTCATTAAATGCAAAGATAATACACACACACAATATATATATATATATATATATATATATCATATTACTCACGCATGCAGCCTAACCTCCCTCTCCCCTCAGTCCCTCTCTCTCTCTCTCTATCTCTCTCTCTCTCAGCTGAAATATAAAAAAAAAATTAATAAAACAATATCTCTCCCACGCCTACTTCCTCCCCATGGCCTCCATGGCTATAAAGGTGGTGAAAATGAAAGAAAAAAGAAGAAGAAGAAGAGAATACGAGGAGGAGAGGATAGACACAACTTTTCATAGAGTCATCGAACTCACTTACACCCTTGAGCAAAGTTGTGCTCCTTAACCTGAGGAACACAACACCCCCACCGCAGCCGCCGGAAAACCCGTTTGAAGCTCACGGCCACCTTGCGATTTTGTATAGAAAACCATTTCAAAACTCATCCAAATTGTTATATTAGGCTCCTTAGGCCCTTAGGAGACCAAACCAACGATTTTTCATATTCCTCTCAGTCGTTAACACCTCCTCCAAGCGAAGCCGAGTCAACTCCGGCGAACATCCAATCCGACATAAAAATGACGTCAAATTGACGCCGCAAGGACTTGGATACGCTCAAAGAGATCTACTTATTCAAACCCAATTGAGGACAAACCTCTTAGGCTCAGGTATATCTCTTCAATTTAAACGATTATCCCGAACATCTCTCCCTTTTAGATCAAAAAATAGATCACAAAACATGCAATTAACCGTATGGATGTGATCTACTATTCGAGCTAAACAAAACGAGCCCATGAACACAAAATTTCTTTGAGAATCGGCGGAAGAGAACGAAGCTTGAGAACTTTCAGCCGTTTGTTTACTCCGTGTGTGTGTAGTGGGTGTCACGCGAGGAGAAGAGAAAATTCGTGAATATTTTCTTTTTTTTAATGCCAGAAATTATGACTTAACTTCAAAATAACTTTTTTATAGAAAACTCCAAAACACAAATCGAAAGATGCTATGAACTCAAAAAAATGAGAAAATTTTTTCAAAACTAAAATCATAATTTTTTATCAACTAAAAAATGTTTAATTAATTTTTGAAGTTTTGGAGTACTTAAATCATAAAAATTAAAATATAAATGGAAAAAATATGAAATTTGGCAGAGACATTAAGTGACTTGGAAACAACCTTCTCGGATTTTTTTCAAGTCATTTTGATTCATCTGTAGGGAGATTTCTTTTTTTTAAGTAAAATGGGTCATTTTATATAATTAAGAAAAATAAGAAATGTGAAATTTCCAAATCCCCCTTGATTTTGTTCTTTGACTTTATACAGATTTTGGAAACCTTAAAACCATTTTAATAATCATAATTCACTAATTATGGGAGTATGTTTGAGTTATGTTAGGTTAGCCTAACCCGAGCTTAAGCTAAACCTACTCTGGCCTATTTATGGTTC